CAACTATTTCCTTGCAGTAATTTAATTGCTTGCGCTGATAGAATAATAAATGACAGAGTAATTACCATTATAAAGAGAGAATCTTCTCCTTTCTTTACCATGAGACAGAGTGAAAAGATTTATTTTAAATTAAGTTTTTAACTGTCATCTGTCATCTCTGTACAGTGTTTTAATTATAACATAGGTATTAGTTATGTATATTTTTGAGAAGGAATGATCACCAAAACTGTTTCGTCATCCATGGGGAATAGGGACGGTGGAGGAAATTTTGCCATAATTTTTCTGAAGAACTATAATAAATTGTTTCAATATTGAATTTCAGGCAAACAGTTATGCTTTCATGACCTGGGGTCCTGAAAATTGCATGAGACCAAAAGTGCTGGCTGATCGGGTGATTTAAATTTATCCCATATTTCTGAATCCTGCCGAATAAACAACTCAAAATACTGTCTTTATGATGCTGCAGTAAAAAAGTAGTTCTTCTGAAGAGAGTTCAAAGAAAAAGGCTACTGCGATTACTGCTGTGTTTAAAAGTAGATCCGGTGTCTTCGAAATATGTGGTGTCTTTCCATGTAAATTGATTACTTGGGGCATTTAGCTGGTTTATGTGTATATGTTGAATGAATTGGATTCATTTTTTTTTCAGTGCTTTAGCAAAGATCATTAAGGCTGGATATGCAGCACTCCAACTAGAATACTTTTTCACTGCAGGCCCAGATGAAGTGCGTGCATGGACCATCAGGGTAAGATTCATACTTATTCATCAGCTATATCCAGTTCCACACTATTGAATTCAGATTGATATCACTGACTTTGAAGTTTGTCATGGTGGCGGTTAGCTAGTCATTACAGATGAGGTTTTTGTCCAGGATAACTTTAATTATTTGTGAGCTGCTGAACAGTGAAAGTGGAGCTGCATTGATTGAGGCAGGTAACAATTGATTCTGCCTATTACATAGTCTGAATTTCTTCATCCTGTAGAATCTGTCTACCCTCCTCCTGTGGTCAGAGATAAGACGTACCAGTATTGTGCTTGCTTAATCTGTGTGACTGGGTTTGTCTGCAGTGAAATTGATGTTGCTTTTCATTTTGTATTCACTAAGTTTGTTTGGGTTGCGGGTGGTTCATTCCTCCTTTGCTTTGCTCGGATTACATTTTCAGCAATAAAAGCAATATAACATCATTATATTCCTCATGGATACACAGTTGGGCTCAAAAACCTAAAATCAGTGTGCAGTAATTCAGGTCTTTTACTGACTTTAATATTTAGACCTAGTTTATTTTGGTAGTTTGTATGTTTATCCGGGAACTTATGTCATGCCTAAAATTACATTATGTATTTTAAATATTGATGTAGAATGATTATAGCCATAGAGATCGACTAATTTATTCCCAGAGGACAGTAAGAGCTGAGCTGTAGTGGTTTGCCTTTGAATGTAAATATGTTATAATAGAAAGATTAGTATCGAAAAATATTTCGAAATGCCTCTATCTTAAAAATTACAAAAATGTCAACTTTTGGAGGTACAAATCTGTCACTGAGCTTTTATTTTTTTGCATCGGTGTATTTAGTGCTGTGCAGTGAATTTCAGTGCTGTATTTAATTTCATTCAATGGAATTAATTTGTTTTCATTAATCAACATAATTTCCAGTAAATTTATATTTTTATTAATACTGCTACAGATGTTTGTGTATATGTTTTAGCACGTTAAACTTATTTTCCTGAAAGCACGTTTATTTTTTTAGCCTTTTCATCTCATCTCCTTTTATGTGATAACTCCTAGGTAAAGTCCCTGAAATAGCTACCAAAATAATATAAAAGCAGAAGTTTTGTTGTTCTGATTTTTGCCGTAGTTTTTAAAAGCACATTCTGAAACTCCACTGTTTTCAGTAGCAGAAATGCTTGCTCTTTATTAGAAAATTTGAAAGCTGGTTTATCTTAAGACTGATTGTAAGTATCTTTGATTTAATGTGCAAAGATATTTAGTCAGGTAAGCATCAGTGAGTAGCCATATTAACCCAATACATCTTTTATTGTAAAAACTGTGCTTTACACTGTCAGACTCCTTAGCACTTTAACATGCTTTATTAAGCAGCCTTTAGGTCATTATTTCTCAAATTTCTCTCCATGCTTGTATGTGCACAGAATGTATGTCCTTGTAATTTAAGGCATGCAGTTATAATGCATTCTCCTCTATTGCGTAAACTTAAATTATCTTATAATAGTTGCCTGTGATTTTTTTATTTTTTAGTGATTCAGTTGTTGACATTTGGGTAAGAATACTCACTTTGTTCTGTATTAGACTTACTAAAATTATTCTAAAATAAAAATAAGCTACTATGTAGGGCTTGAGATCCATAAATAATTTTTGATTACAAATGTGGTTTGCCAGTGAATGTTATCATTTAACTGAAATTATTTGGACGTAAGTAAAAGTCTTGTGAGTAATTCAGATTTTAAAGTTATTTAAAAATCTTTATGTTCCTCACTTTCTGTGTGGAGAGCTAGGGATCGAAGTGAATCCCACAACAAAACACAATTGTAGCTTCTAAAATCAATACTGCTGTTGATACCTATTAGGAAAAACAAAGCTGCCCTTCTTTAGTATCAGTTGGTTTATCTGTGGTGAAGGCATCTGTCTGTATGTCCCAATATTGAGAATTACCCAGCTGTATGCGTGACATTTTAACTGATATGAAACAAAGTTTCAACAGATCCTGAACGCATATCAAAAAGGAGAAACCTCTTTCCTGCAATCAATCTTTTTAAATGCAATTAATTTTCTTCCGGTCTTTCCTTTGACAGAAAGGGACGAAGGCTCCTCAGGCAGCAGGGAAGATTCACACAGATTTTGAAAAGGGATTCATTATGGCTGAAGTAATGAAATATGAAGATTTTAAAGAAGGAGGTTCAGAAGCTGCTGTCAAGGTGAGCTCCCCATCTTTTTCTTCTCCCTTCTTCCATATGTGCCATTTTTCCATTTCAAGTCTATTTGTCACTGGGAAGAACTTCTTCATGCTAAGCGAATCTTAACAGTCACCTCTAGCAATAGACCAAAATCTATTTTCATCTTTTACTTAGGAAAGAATTCAAATGTACCAACTTACTCAGCAG